ACATATGGGTGCTGTACCACCTATATCCTCAGTCCTTTTTTATTTTTATTTTGAAACAAGGCCTTACTGAGCCGTCTGGAGGGGAAATCAAACTTACAATCCTCCTGCTTCAGTCTCCCTCAGTGTTTTTATACTATTAAATGCACTAGTAAAACATGTACCTGTTTCTCACGGCCAGCACAGTTATAGAAACCATTTCTATGCCACCCATGTGACATGGTGAAGTCACTATTAAGACACTGGTGAATGAGGATATTACTTTGACTGTAAATACATCTTTGAAGGTGTAACTATATGAGAGTAGAACCTGAAAAACTAACTGTGGCAAAAGTCAAACCATCATTAATTAAGTTTCAATTTAAATCAGTGAACATACTAAATATATGTTTTACCTAAAGCACTATGTTTGCTATTTTATTACTCTTAAATATTCATTGAATATCATGTATATAATGCTATATAGCCCACTAAGAACATTTTGTATCTCTATTGTGCATAGAAAAATACCATTTATCTATTAAGCTGTAAATAATTATTGATTGAATGTTTGCAATTTACAAAGCACTATCACTAGGTCCTAAGATAGTGTCTCCTTCATTTTATTCTTAGAAGTCTTACTTAGATTATTGGAATGATCATACTGACTTATTTGTGGGGACTTAAAGTAAATATACATAAAATATTTTTATAAGACTTGAATTGCTTAGATATGCAAATAAAAGCAAAGATAAAGTTTGGACAATTCATAATTCATGAAGTGATTTCTAGTATAGTGGAAAGTCGATGGTATTGCTATTATTTAAATGAAGAAATGCTATATAAATGCATAGAAAAAAATCAAAGATCAAGGTGAAATAGTAAATATATATTATATCTGATATGATATAAGCAGTGAAGAAAAAATATAAAAATAATTATTTCTAAAAAATTATAAATATCTGTATTAAAATGGCATATGATGTTTATATAGTATGTTTATTTTCCTAATTGTTATTTGTGTATTTGGGAGGAAAGGTTTTTGATTGTTAAGAGAAAATTTTCAAACAATATAGTCATCATTTACAGCTCATATTTTACCATTTGAAACTGAATCTTTGGGCACATTATTTGAAGTCCTTATGCCTCAGTACATTAACTATAAAGTGATAATCATAGTTATATCTAGCTCATAAGGTTACAAGGGTTAAAGAATGCAATATCTATACACTGTCAAGCTCGTTGTTTGGAATGATGCAAATGTTTAATAAACAACTGTTTTTTGTTTGTTTGTTTTGGTACTGGGGATCGAACTCCAGTCCTTCCGCTTGTGAGGCAGGTGGCGAAACCACTGAGCTAAATTCCCGGCCCCTGATAAACAACTGTTAATACTACTATAAATGAATAATTATTGGATATTTAGTTTGTAGCTAATAAATGAGAACAAAAACTATTCTCATAATATTTACAGCTTCAAATACCAAAAGTAAGGTTTATTCTACTGAATCTCATTAAGAATGAAGATTCAAAGTTAAATAAGTCAATTTTTAAAAGATCATTAATGAGCTCGAATGTAGTGGTGTGTGACTGTAATCCTAGAAGGCTAGAACACTGAAGCAGGAGGAATGCCCAGCCCCAGCAGTTTAACAAGTTATCAAGAGCCTGACTCCAAATTAAAAAAAAAAATTAAATTAAATTAAAAAGAGCTTGAGGGCTGGGGATGTAGCTCAGTGGTGCCACACTTTCCTGTCAAGCACAAGGTCCTGAGTTCAATCCTTGATACTGGAGAAAAAAAAAGGCTAGAGATGTAGCTTACTGTAAAAGCCCTGGGCTCATCTACCTCTTCCCCCTCCCCACCCAAAAAGAGAGCAATAAATTAGTATAACAAAAGAATTAGATAAAAATTAGATATTAGAAAAGGTAGCATTATTGAAATTGCCATGCTAATTTTAGTAGAATCATTATGAATATAATTTGATAGATATTAACACATTTTCATTGTTTTACATTTTATAAAAAATAAATATTTAGAAAAACTTTTCATGAATATTTTTTCATTTTCTGCCATTTTAAATAGGATATCCTTAAAAAGAAGAACAATACTTGCTAAGGATTACTAAACTCAAAACTAAAAAACACGATTTTTAGAAAATAGATAATATGTGTTAATATTTTTCTATCTTCAATCTTGTAAATAATTAATATTTATATCTAGAGTAGAAAAAAGTAATTTACAGTGGAAATATTCATGATTTTCAAAAAAACAAATGTTACAATCTTGGGCTTTATTCTCTTTTTAAGAAAAATTTTATAGTGATATATTTTAAATTTATCTTCCTTGCCTTTCTGCTTCCTCCTTAATGCTCATTGCTTATTTCATGACTAAGACCAGGTTTTGTGTCAATGATCAAACCATCCTCATTTTATATTGCTGCTACTTCTAAAACTGTTGCTTATCTGAGTGGTATCAAAGATAACCTATTATTTTTTCTCAAAAATTATTTAATACATGGAACAAGGCTATACTGAAATAAGATATCACATTAATTTCTTTTAATTTTTAAATAATACTCACCAAAATTATGGTGGTTATGTTAGCAGCTGGTTGTCATTCAAGTGTCCATTCCAAAAACCAGAATTTGACACAGGCTTAAAGTATAAAAATAAGAGATTAAAAGGAAAAAATATCTCAGTTCCAATCATGGAAAGAAAAATGCTACTCACAACCAAACCAACTGGTGATATAGTATACCTCATGCAGGAGGTAATAAGCAAGCTAGGCTGGGAAAGAAAATCATGGGTTTTCTACAGTATTAATTTGGAACTAAACCCAACAGATGTAGAAAACAGAAAGGACTGTCTTAGTTACCCTTCTTGTTCCTGAGACACAATATTCAACACGCACAACTTTAAAAATAGAGGTTTATTTTGAGTCATGTTTCAGTCCTCAGTCAGCTGGCTCCAAGGCAGAAGGGCATGGTTAAAGAAACTGGTGGAGGTAAGCTGCTCATCTGTGGCAACCAGGAAGCAAAGCAGGGAGGTAGGAGGTGGTGGTGGTGGGGGGGTGTATATTCCTAGGTCACATCCATAGTGACTCATCCTTTCCAACCAGACCCCTTTTTCTAACAGCAAGTCAGCAATAAGGCCCCTTCGATAATCTAATCAGCTCCCAAACACATGAGGCTTTGGAGGCCATTTGAGATCTAAACCATAACACTATTCAATTGAGAAGTGAGATTAAACATACTAGTCCTTTGATATGGTTTGTGGACTGGATCCAGGGGCCATTCACCATGGATACCAAATTCAGTGGCAACTCAAGCCTCTTGCATAAAATTGCATAGTATTTGCATATAACCTATGTGCATCTATCTATATATAAATTAAACCATCTTTAGATCACTTGTAATACCTAATGAAAGGTAAGTGCTCTGTAAACAGTTGTTACAATTTAGGATGTAATGAGAAGAAAAAAAAGGGTATGATTTTGTGTTCAGGACAGATGAAAGTTTCCAGGTTATTTTTCACCTGCTATTGGTTGAATCTGCATATGCAGAAATTACAGATAAGAAGTCCTGACTGTAGATGGCACAGGGACTCAGGGATACACAATAGACCTAAGCCTCTGATCTAAGGCTATGATTAAAATAGGGGACACCTGAAAGAAAACAAAATCTAATCTCCATTTATATGAGATACAAGAAATCTAAGTCAAGAAAATAACACAAAATTGGCCAGTAACATACAAAACAGAAAAATCTATGAAAAATTATATATCTAGTACTTCTCTTTGCATTCCTACAAGAGATATACTTCCATCTTCATGAATATGATAATTCTTAATGGTAAATAACACAGCAATACATTGGTATTATTTCAGAAGCTTGTACACATGTAGCAAGTGACATAGATGAGAATGCTTATAGCAATATTTTTATTAGTGGCCAAACTAGAAATAATCCAAAATTCATCAAAAGCAGAATTGATACATAAATTACAATATATTAATACAGAAAGACTGCATACAAAAAAGAATTAGGGAAGAACTTCTTGTAAAAATTTGGATTATTATGGAAAACAGAATATTGAGAAAAATAAGCCAGAGAAAAAACTGCATATTATGAATATAACCATGTAAATTTATTTTTTCAAAATGGCAAAACTAAACTATAGAGACTAGAGATGATGCAATGTTACAAGGTAAATTTTATTTTATTTTCTGGGTTTGGGGTTCATTTTAATTAATTAAGCTTTTTGGTACATTTTAGATGTACACAATGATCACATTCATCATGGGAATTTGTACCTAAATAAATTCTTAGTTCTTCTTTTTCCCATTCTCCTCCCCTCCCTTCAAATCCACTTCTTATTTACAAAAGCTTTGTTTCCATTTTTTCCTTCTTTTTCATTGTTTTTCTTTTCCTTACCTTCCTTTCCCCCTCCCCCTCCCTAGATTCCCTTATTTGAACTTTTTTTCCTATTTCACAATATCTATTATACATTTTTGTCCGTATTTACACTTTCAGCTTCCCACACCAAAGAAATAATGCAGTATTTACACACTTGTGTCCTATTTATTTCACTTAAGAGTATGGTTGGTCTCAAGGTTCATCCATTGAGCTATAAATGTCTTGTTTATCTTTCTTTGTGGATGAGTGTATAAAAAAACCCCACGTCTTCTTTATCCATTCATTGGTTAATGGGAATTTGGGCTTTTTCCAAGATACTTTAAAGCAAATAATGAAAATAATTACCCTCCAAAGGATGCTATGGTAACTCTTAAGGGAAAGTAGTCGTGATTAGGTTCCCTAAACAAAGTACATGGGAGGAAGTTGGATTTTGCTTTTGTTTTTTTGAGACAGAGTGTCACATAATAGTTCAGGCTGGCCTTAACACACTATGTAGCCCTGGCCTAGAATTCAGTTCACTCTGATTCTCCTGCCTGACTCCAGAGTGCAGGGACTTTAGGCATTTGATTCCATCTCTGACTTCTTGTTAGTCTAATATTTTTGTTTGTTTTACAGGTCATTGTTGTGAGGAGCCTGTTGCACTCAGTGTTTGAAGCCAAGACCAAGCCAGAAAAGAGTTACTCACTCTAAGGGGGCAAGTAGATTCCCTCACAACCCAGCTTTTTCCCCCTAGAAAGAGGAGATTTCAGACTACCAGAATCATCATAAGGAAGTCATTCCTGCTTTACCCTGAAAAGATAAGTAACATTAAATAACTCAACACTAAGCAATCAGCTTCCTCTCTATTTGCTATAGTTTTAATATGTCCCTAAATTCCATATATTAGATGCAGCACCATTAAGAAGTAGAACCACTTGGGGTGATTATTTCATGAAGGCTCAGCCCTTTTGACAGGATTAGTGCTGTTATTGCAAGAGTGGGTAAATGTTGTAGAAGTGAGTTCATGATAAAATTAGTGGCTTTTGTTTCTCATGCAAAGGATTCTGCCATGGCCATGTTATAATATCAAGAAGACTTTCACCAAATGTATCCCCTTGACCTTCCACTACTAAGCTGCCAGAAAAAAAATCTATGTACTGTATAAATTGCCCAGACTCATGTATTATTAGAACAGTACTGCTATTGTTTCCTTCTTCCCACTTTACAAATACCACTGTTCTGCTGCTGCCTAGTGGAATTTTTCATTCAATTTTGTACAATGAAGGCTGCTTTTATTATTAATTATAATAAAAACAGATCATTAACTACATTTACTCTAAATAAATAACTCAATAAGTTCATCATTCTAAATTTCACACAAACTGATAAATTATGCCTCCAATATATTGAGTTTTGTGTCACAATAGAAAACTAAGAATAAACTCTAATATATGTGTAAAAATACATTATGCACTAAATAAATATATGTATTCACAAAAACAGTGTAGTAAATGAAAGTGAAGTTGCAAAACTATTAAAATATGGAAGCAGAAATAGCACTCAGGTAAACCAAAGAACAGAAACAAAGAAAAAAACAATGAAATGCAAATGTAAGCCTTAACACATCAATAATTTCAGTGAATATAAACATTATTACTTTAACAATTCATAGGAATTCTCAGAATGTTTTTAAATGGCCCAAAATACATGTTATCTATAAGAAACTTTCATTGTAAAATATAAGAAGTATACACTGTATACTGTGTAAAATTATAAAAGAAATATATCATGTAAACAACAAACAAATGGATTGACTACACCAATTCCAGAAAACACAAACTTTAAGAAAATAAAATTCTGAAGCATAGGGAAGACCTTATATAATGTTAATAAGTTCAATTTACTATAAAGATTCAGCAATTCTAAATATATTTGAACAAAATGGTCATAACTACAAAATGTACTGTGTTAAACTTGATGGAATTGAAAAGAGAAATAGATTAGTTTCTATAGTTGGGAATATGAACACTTCTCTCTCAAGAGTTGATAGAGTAGTAAATTAGTAATGATAGTGTTCCACAACATTATCATTAACCAACAAATATTTATGAAGCACATCTTTTATCAAACAGCAGAACATGTCTTTTTTTTCAGTTGCTCAAATAGCGTATTCAAAGATAGGCCATATATGAGCCATAAAACAAATCTCAGTGAATTTAAAAGAATTGAAATCCCATGGATTTTCTCCAAATGCAATGAAATTAGACTATAAATCAATAAAATGAGAAAACATGAACATCTCCAAACATTTGAAAACTAAGTTACAGATTTCTCAATAATCTACTGGTCAAAGGAGGAAGACTCAAAGGAAATTAAAAAATATATTGAATTGAATGAAAATGAAGATAAAGCATATCAAAATATGTGACACAGCATATAAGAATGTGTGGGTCACAAGTATAGTATTGTTCACAAGGATGTTTTTAGGTATGAACAAATCTCAAATCAACAGCATAAGCCCACAAATCAATAAGCAAGAAAGTGTAGGAGAAAATAAACCCAAAGCAACTACAAGGGAATAATAAGAGCATAAATAAAAAGGTAATATAGAAAAATCAATGAAACAAAGAGTTGGTTCTTTGAAAATTTCAGCAAAATTGACAAATATCTAATAAGATAGACAAAAGAGATATGAATTATTGATATTTGAAAGTAAAACGTAGTAATATTACTACTACTGTTGTATGCATTAAAAATTAGGGAATCTGACACCGTAATGCAAAAAAGGCAATTTTTGAACCTATGTGATTTCATAGAAGAATTCAAGTAATTGTTAAATGAGATATTAACATAAATTATATACAACATGATAATTTATAATTCATTTTTAAAGCTAGTAAGATGCGTGACACTGAAACCAACATATTAAAAATACTACGGTCCATAAATCTTATGGATGCAGGTTCAAAAAATCCTTACAAATTTACAAAGAGAACTTAGTATTATATAAGAATTACACCAAACAATAAGGCAAAAAGTGGAGTTTATTCTAGGCATGAAAAACTGATTCAATATTCAAAAGTTAATGTTATCAATCATATGAACAGATTAAAGAAAGATCACAAAGACTTTGTGACTTCAAAGACTTTGATATAAAAACAGAAACTCTGAAACAGTTGGAAGGTGACATAGGGAAAACACTTCAAGCCACAGGTACAGGCAAAGAGTCCTTCAATATAAATCTAACAGCACACAAAATAATGTCAATTATCAATGAATGGGATAAAGAATATATAAAAACTCAACACCCCCAAAAAACAAATGGCCCAATCCAAAAGTGAAAAATTAACTGAATAGATACTTCTCAAAGAACTACAAATAAATACATGAAAAAATGTTCAAAAGTTTTAATCATTACAGAAAGGAAAATGTGAACAACTTTGAGATTCCATTTTACTCCAGCCAATCAGAATGTCTACCATTAAAAACACAATAACCAATGAGCATTTGGCAAGGATGGGGGAGAAAAGGAACCCTTCTTCATTGTTGGTAGAAATGTAAACTAGTACAATCAATATTCATTGTTTTCTGTGCTATTGAATTCTATCCAGGATGAAGGAGAAAAAGGAACCTGAATTGCTGATGAGAATTTAAACTAATTCAACTACTATGGAAATCAGTGTGGAGATTCTTTTAAAAAGTTAAAAATAGAAATTCTGCCAGGGATTTAGATCAGTGGTTCCGCCACCTGCCTTGTAAACACAAGGTTCCAAGTTCAATCCCTGGTACAAAAAAAAAAAAGAAATTCCATTTGATCCAGCTATGAAACTATTGAAAAATGTGGCACCTACACATTGGAGTATTACTCAATCATAAAGAAGAATGAAATAATATCATTGGTAGGGCAATGGACAAAAATTGAGAATATCATGTTAAGTATAATAAGCAAGGCTCAAAAGTTAAATTTTCTCTTACAAGAGAAACATAAAATATTATATAAATCAATCGGTCAATCATTCAATCAACCAATAAAGGAGAGATAACAGGAAAGTAGAAGCTAGACTCTTGGAGCTGGTTAAAGGGATCAAGGTGGAGGAAGGAAGGAGGGTAAAGGGATTGAAAGTGATTAAGATATGTTGTATGTACCAAACATCATTATTGTATATTATAGACATGCACTAATAAAAATTACATAATTGGGCTGGGGATTTAGCTCAGTGTTTCTGGCGCCTGCCTCGCAAGCACAAGGTTCGATCCCTGGTACAAAAAAAAAAAAATTACATAATCTTACCAATTCAGAAAAAAATTTATAAAGTTCAGCATTCTCTAAAATATCAGAAAAAAATAAGAACAGAAGAACAGAAGAAACTTTTTTCAAATTGATAAAATATTTTAAGAATTATAGCTAACATTATACTTGGTAGTAAAAACTTGATTTCTGCCTTAATTTAGGAAGATAGCAAGTATGTCCACTATCATGATTCATACTCAATATAATGCTTGAAGAATCAGCAAGTACAAGAAAGTAAGTATATTTAAATTATAAAAGCAGAAATGAAAGAATCCTTATTTTCAAATAACATATTGTTCAGAATAAATATAGGAAGCATTTAAAAAGGGAAAAAAGACCTTCTAGATTTCACATATTCTGCATCCAGCAATTTAATAAGCTACAAGGCAAAAAAATCTCAAAAATTAATTTTATTTGTGGATGTTAGAAATGAAAACAGGGAAACTGAAATTTGAAAAATAGAAATAGATGAGGTAGAAAATATAAGTTTTAAAATGTACTTTCGAAACCAATAGAAAGTAACCAGGAATTAAACAATATATTGCATTGCATTTGTGGAGAAAATATTTTTAAGTTTCTTATTTTATTAAATAATATTGCAAAAGAATATAAAATGTATAAGAAGTACAACTGAACAAGAATATCTAAAATACTCTCAATAAAGAGAATTCATATATACAGGCTTTGTCTATCAGATATAGAAATGATTTAGAAATATATGACAATTCTGATAGCATAGTATTTGCTCAAGGAATTATAACTGATCAGTGGAGCAGAATAAAGAGCCCAGGAATAGCCAGACACAATTATGCACTTTTTGTATATGTCAGAAATAGTATTGCTGAGAAATGAGAAAAAATTAGGATAGCAAAATTGATTCTTTATTTGAAAAATGTAGCTCTGGATGGAATACAGCCATATCCTTCTAAGGAAAAATTAAAATATACAAACAACACTCACAACTTTTAAAAAGACTACTTGCTATTCTTTTATAGGGGAATAATTGCCAAAGAATAAATAAAATATGAACACTAAAACAGAATCTCATAACATTTTATTAATTTAAAAATGTTTTATCAAATGATATTTTAGAGAATAAATGAGACAATATTTTCTGAGAAAAGTTTTTAAGTACCCACATAATGGTAAAATGATCTTTGCCTGCAATTGTAAAAACATTTATGAAGGGCATATCTGTAACAAATAAACAAAGACATAAAACAGGTTTCTCTACAAAGATATTTTATTTCATTCTCAGCAGACTGACAAAGACGAGTGTAATTACACCAAGCTTAACAAAAATGTGAAAGAAGGAATCACTTCTGGTACGCACATTTTCTGGCCATCAGGCTTGTCATCTTAATTAGCTTAGATGAAGTCTGGGAGATTAGACACTCGTCCTTCTGAGTGCATCTCAGTGGGTCATAAAGCTGTGACCCTTTTCCTCTTGCACTGTTTCCCTCCTCTGCCTCCCAGCCACTATGAACTAAGAGGCTTTGCCCTGCCATGCCTTCCTCGTGATGTTTCTGTCTTACAGCCAGCCAATAGTGGACTGACTCCTCTGAAATCTTGAGCCAAATAAACCTTTGCTCCTTAAAGTTATGAGTGTCTGATATTTGGTCCCAGCAACAGGAAAGCTGATGGATACACATTCTATATGGGACCACTATTTTAGTGTGAGGGTAGACTGCTTATAACACAATTATGTAAGACTAAAGAAAACCAGTGCTAGCAAATCTTTTAAAGTTTTACATTACATTGGGTTGTATTTCAAGCACAAAGAGAAGAAACTCAAATAATTTAGGAAAAAGGTATGTTGGATTTATGTTGCTTAAAGGTAATTTAAAGTATAAGTTTAAAAATAGTAAGAAAGGAGGCAGTAATGAGCATCAGAGTGAATAGTAGATATTTAAAAATTGAAAAAATAATTGCTAGTATAAAAGCAATATAACTTTTCAAAAGTTAAAACCTT